ACACACAGACACACACACACACACACACACACACACGCACACACACACAGTTTGGTACTATTTAGTATATTCATAGTGTTATGCAACTACCACATCCTCCTGGTTCTAACAAATTGTCGTTCTCTGATGTCAGGCTCCACACCCAGCAGCGTCTCCCCAGCCCTGCCAGCCAGGCTGCTTTGTCTCCTTGCACCTGCACCTTGCATTGTGAAGTGGCCTTTTGAGTCTGGCTTTTCTCCGTTAGCATGCTTCCCAGATCTGTCCATGTCACAGCAAGTGTCACAGCTTCATTCTGCAGTGTTGGTTTGTCGAGATGTGGTCTTACGGTATCCACTCCTAGGTCACAGCTTCAACCCTGTGTATGAATCTTTGTGATGTTGACACAAAATACACAGCTCTCCGTTTAAAGAGGATAAGGAATAGTCTATTCTGGAACCCCCCCAGGGCCCCCCCCAATGTGAGTGAACCTGACCCAGGAGCATGGAGTTAGGTTACCCCAGGTTCCTGTGTGGAACCAGTTTCATCAAGTTGTGTCAGTAGCCTGATGGAGCTGTAAATCAAGGCCATTTTAAAATACGCTGGTGGGCACATCACCGACGGGGTTTACAGGCCATGTGCTGTCTGTCCAGGCCCAGGGGCTCCAATGCCTCTGTGCTTTGTTGACACTGGTATTTTCCTTGGAATGTATAATGGCTGTTCTCACTCACAGGCTGAGGAGGCTGTGGCTCTGACAGGTCCTTAGTGACTTTATCCTACAGGTGGATGTTAATGGTTGTAAGCTATTTTACCCTGTTTATCCAACCGGTCCCCTGATGTCGGACTCTCAGGTCAGCCCTCATGACTAAGGACAGTACTGTGGAGAGCATCTTGTTTATTTATTTCTTAGGGATAAATATAAAGAATCCTGTTGCTGAGTTAAAGGTCATGTGCACTTTTCAGGATCCCTAGCCCAGAACGCCAATTTGCCCTCTAGTGCCCTCTAGGTACCGCACACTCCTTTTTCTACTTATGACTCTTCTTTTGACTGAGAAAATTTAACACAGCTCCCCTCCCCCCCAGACACTGTGTAGCTTTGAGCCTGTTGTGGAACTCACTCTGTAGACCAGGCTGGCCTTGAACTCACAGAGATCCATCTGCCTCTGCCTCCTGAGTACTGGGATTAAAGGCCTTGATCCAACTCTTGGTATATAAGTATATGAAATAAACATAAAATCAAAGATTTACTACTAATAAATCATTAAGAAATTTATTTTAAAAGCAGTTTTAGTTGCACATATAATTTTATCATTAGAGACAAAGTAAATTTGCATATGAATATAATGGATGTTTATTTTATATAAAGATTTAAATTGTGGCTAAAGATTTGATACCATGGGATATGAATTATCTTTGGCTGTTTTCAGAGCTGTCCTAGAACACAGCTTCACATAAGTACAAAGCGGCAGAAGTGTGTCTGGAGACATTCCAGAATGCTGTTCTAATCCTAGGCCAAAATTCATTTAATACTTGTTCTCTTTAATAAAATTCAGGTCAGCAAGCCAGGCCAGGTGGTGGCAGTGGTGGCGCACATCTTTAATCCCAGCACTCGGGAGGCAAAGGCAGGGGAATCTCTTTCAGTTCAAGGCCAGCCTGGTCTACAGAGTGAGTTCCAGGACATCCAGGGCTACACAGAGAAACCCTGTCTCAAAAACCAGAAGCAAACAAACATACTAAAAATTCAGATCAGCAACTGAAGCAGCTTAACATTTAAAAAAAAATTATCTGGCTGGAGAGATGGCTCAGAGGTTAAGAGCACTGCTTGCTCTTCCTGAGGTCCTGAGTTCAATTCCCACCAACCACATGATGGCTCACAACCATCTGTAATGAAATCTGGTGTTCTCTTCTGGTGTGCAGGGATACATGCAGACAGAACACTATACATAACAAATAAATAAGTCTTTTTAAAAAAACATCCCTTGACAACTTCATGCCTGTATGAAGATGTATTCTGACTGTGCTCACACACCCCTCATGCCTGTATGAAGATCTATTCTGACTGTGCTCACATACAGCCCTCACCCTCTTATGCTTTCCCACCCCCCAGAGCCCCCTTCTCAGCAAGTCTTTTAATAACAGACCTGTTATTTTATGTGTGTGAGTATTCTGTCTGCATGTATGTATGTGCAGCATGTGCATGTCTGGTGCCTATGAAGTCCAGAGATGACACAGAACTGGCGTTCCAGGTGATTCTGAGTTGCCACATGAGTGCTGAGAACAGAACCCAGCACTTGTCTTCTGCAAGAACAACAATTGTTATTAACTATTGAGCCATCTCTCTAGCTCCCGTGCTTGGATTTGGATTTTGTTGTTTTGTTTTTTGTTGTTGTTGTTGTTCGTTTGTTTTTTGTTTGTTTTTCATTTTAATGATCCACTGTTAGGATTGCTTGGGTGTGGGCAAAAATCAAAAACAAAATAATGCCAGATGGTGGTGGCGCACACCTTTAATCCCAGCACTCAGGAGGTGGATCTCTGTGAATTCAAGGCCAGCCTGGGCTACAGAGTGAGTGCCAGGACAGCCTTGTGGGGTCATTTACTAGAGCACAGGTGACTCATTAGTGACTAAAGAGAGTCCCCGCTCTCAGCATCCCAGCTCCTCAGCTACCGATGAGGCCCAATGTGCTCGTTCCTCCTCCGTGTTGGAATTCAAACAAGTTTTCAAATCAGATGTCCTAGGGGCTGGAGCAGAGGGATGGCATAGCAGTTAAGAGCCCTTGCTGCTCTTCTAGAGGACTGTAATTTAGTTTCTAGCATCCAAGTCAGACTGTCTGCAACTCCAGGTCCTGGGATCCTGTGCCCTCTACTGGCTTCTGTGGGTACTGCGTGCACACAGATACATACTCATAAAAAAATAAAATAAATCTTTAAAAAATTAAAATCAAATGTTCTAACAGGATACAATTTAAAGATATACTAATCTGATGTATGTGGAGAAATGACTGTGGAAAACACTGGAACTCCTTTTTAGTAATTAACCCATGATGTTTCTGTAAGAACAGAAAATTTTATAGATGCAGTAAACAAAAACAAAAAACACTACAATTTGTAACACACAAGTCTCAAACTGAAGCTGTTTCAGGCAGCCTTGGCGGTGAGTGGTGTGACGACTTGTGCAGGGCGCACGTTGTGTGCTCTGGATCAAGGCTGCAGTCAAGTTCCAAGATACCGCGTGGATGGGTGCCACCCGAAACAGCTCAGACTAGGGACACTTGGTTTAGAATTAATTTTGGTTGTGGCACATTCAGAGATCTTCCACAAAGTGGAGTACTAAAGAAGGGCTGAGTCTCTTCTCACCACCACCTTTAGTTACTCAAACTCAACGGGGACTTGCAGCCTAAAGTTTAGAAGCCAGGCCTAAGGGCTTTAATATGACCTACCTCCCTTTGTCTTGCAGATGTGTGGGAACAGCTCGCCTCTTCCTGTGCCATGAGGCCACCGCAGTCTGACACCGCCCCTGTGCCCACCCAGCCTTCCTCATGTACACAGCCGGCGGCCACCCTTGAGCCTCCAGGCCGGGTTCTCTTTCCCCCTTGCCCTGCATCCACCTGCCGCCTGAAGCCACTGGTTCCAATCGTCAACAACCTCTGCTTGTCCAAAACAGCGACGAACCGAAATGGAAAAGGCTCCAGCCCTCCGCCAAACTAAGGACTTGGCTGTCTCTCCAGGGCAGCCATGCCATCCCTCCTGCTCTCCTGCGTGTGTGCTTTCTTTCTTTCTTTTATTTCAAATGGACATTGTAAAAGAAAACAAACAAACTACCTTCTGTTCTAGAAGATACTGACCCTCGGGAGAAGGCCTCTGGGTCTCAGAGAACTCAGTCTCTGCCTGGCCCTCTGCAGCGGTGGCCTGGGGCCAGGGCTGCCTTTAGCAGTGAGGGCGCTGGCAGGCAAGGATGGTTAGTGATGATGGCTCATGTGATAACAGTATTGTGTATTCTGTGGGGAAAGTGAGGTTTTTTTTTTTATACTCATATATAATCGATACCTTTTATTTATTGGTTGTTAACTATTGCTGCTACCTTGTGTGTCTGAAACTCCCAGGATGCTGGGCCTCCGTTTACATGTGCACACCCTCACCCACCTGCCCACCTCACTTGGGAGGATGGTGGCCTGCAGCGGCCAAGAAGCCAAAAATCTTTTCCTCTTTTTTTTTTTTTTTTGATACTGTGCTCCTTTTCTGGAGAGGGGAAGGTGGGCATTCCTAAATGGCTAATGTACTGTTCCCCAGCTTCTGCCCTGCAGTTCCCATCCCTCTCCTTGGAGTCCATAATACTTTTTTCAAGGACAAACGGGACTTTTTTTTTTTTTAATTTTGCTCTGATGTTCACAGCAGAGAGAAAATGGAGAACCTTGTTCTGGGAGTGGTTGCTGGGAGAGGGCTCACGGTGTGGAGAGTGTGAAGTGGGCTTCTCTCTGCAAACCACTGGTTGGTCCTAGGGGTGTGTGTGGCCTGTGAATCCCTGGGCTTTCCTGTCCGGCTGCCTTTCGCAGCTGTGTGACTTCTTCTTTGCTCGGAGTCTGGGAAGGAGGGAGTGAGAGGAAAGGACCAGGCCATGCTGCAGAGGGAGGCTCTGCTCCTCCAAGACTGAGTCCAGTGCCAGGGGTAGCTCCACTTCTGTCACCAGGAACATTGGGCAACCATAGATCAGAAGCAAGGAACCCAAGGTTGGGCTTCTCTGGGATTTTGTAGTCTGCCTTCTCAGTCAGCAGGGCTAGGGGACCTGGTGGTTGATTTCGCTGATGTTGTCTGTTCTCAGCTAGAGTTTGGGTTCCTACGTCCTTCTCAGTCAGCAGGGCTAGGGGACCTGGTGGTTGATTTCGCTGATGTCTATTCTCAGCTAGAGTTTGGGTTCCTACCTGTGACAGTTTTGTGGTTCTGTTTGCCAGGCCCTGAGTCTCTGATGGCACCACCTTTAGCCCCTCTTTAGCATTCTCTAGGCTCTTGAGCTCCTCTGGGGCTCATCCTCACCCTGGGCAGCTTTCTCAGGTGAGACAAGACCTCCCCAGCTGCAGAGAGGCAGGCCTGGGCCCATAGTTCTTGCTTCTAGTTTATGTAGCCTCTCTGGTCACCATCGAGAGGGGGAAATTGCCCTGGATTTTGTTCTGCTCCAATCTTTCTGTAATGCCCACCATACTTCTGGGAGGCCAAACTCTTCCTTGCTAATGACCTGTGGAGTAGCTGTCAGCTGGAGGATGGATGTCCTCCATCAAGAGGTGACTGTCCTGCCTCTGCATTCCGTGGGTGGGAATGCTTAGCCAGTCCACAAACTCACCGTCTTCATGGGCAGACCCTTTGCTCATCACTGTCAGCCCGCCAGATCCCACGGGGCTCCAGCTGCAGGCAGTTTTCCTTGAGGCTTCTTTGGGTCAGCTTCCTGCTTGGCCACTGACAGGGCCTCTGGGGCGGGGAGTAGATGTGATGATGTAGCTTGAGAGGATGAGAGTGGACTCTCTCTGGTCTCTGGAGCTTCGGTTGCCCTCTCTCTCTGAGTAGCATGTTTGGTGGCATCAACTCAATGGATTCCCAGCTGAGGACTGTCAAGGGTTAAGCATTGGTGTTCATCGAGTCTGTGGGCCCAGGTTTCCTCTCAGCATCTTGGCTTTTTGGTTTGCAGCCTCAAGTGTGGCTTTTGGTCGTCATAGTTTATGTCCTTGGGCCCAAGCCTCAGACACTGAGACAGCTCTGGGCTGTCTTCTTCCTGACAGGCTGCTGGATACAGTTTCCATTCAAGGATGCGTGCTGACTGCCTTCCGTCCTTCTCTTTCACCAGCCGTTAGCTGTGGCACACAGCACGCCCAGAATCTGAGGCTGAGCCTCTTCTGAGCAGCCCGAGGCCCTCTCCCCATGTTCATTTCTACTGAGTCCCACCCCATCTGATGCTGCTTTCTTTAGGGGTGTGGTCCAGCCTGTGAGGCCAGGTCCCTGGTCCCTCTGCAGACCCTCCCTCCTGGGGCCAGGGATGCTGTGTCTTTCTTTAGGGGTGTGGTCCAGCCTGTGAGGCCAGGTCCCTGGTCCCTCCCTCCTGGGGCCAGGGATGCTGTGCCCCCCTCTTCTTCCAAGCATTTGCTCCCTACTTTGTGTTAATGGTGACTTACAGCACGTCACGACTTTGTGATATCTAGCCAGGTTTAAAATAACAAGGCGTATGTATGCGGCATAGACATCTCTTCCTTTAAATGCTCTGCAGTTTGACAGTTGATTTCCTGTGATGATGCATTTGGGCCTTCCGGGACATTGTCTCTTCTAGGGGATGGTGGAGTGTAGGATGCCCTGGCATCTCTCTAGAGAAAGCCCCCATTCTGGCCAAGCAGAAAACCACTGTGATTCCTCCCAGTGTATTTCCAAATTTATATGATTCAAGGATTACTGGGGCTCCCCCTGGTGGTGATAAGCTGTAATGTCACCTGGGGGCTGCAGTGGTCCAGCAAGTTGGAGGCCAGAGGTGGGAAGGCCAAGGTGGCTGTGGTTCAAGAGGCCCTGAGCCCCCGAGCCGCACATATCCTGGCAGCATGTCTCCCACCTTCCCCTCTTCTAGGTCATCTGGGACTGGCAAGGTAATTGGCATAAGGGCACAGTGGGAAGCTTTTCCCTCCCAACTTTAATTTTTTAAAAAAATATCTGCAGAATAAACCCAATGGTTAATTTTTGAATGAATAAAAGGCTTTTGTTGAATAAAAAGTTGGTCCCATCTTCTGTCTTGGCACTAGGTTCAGGTTTTGTCTGCTTCCTAGGGTGGGGGTAACACCCAGCACTCTTCGCCACTTCATCCCTGGACAAACTCAGTCTCCAAATTCCTCTGGGACTTTGGGGGAGAGTCACACTACTCATTGGGTCTGTTTCTCTATGCCTCAGAAGGAGGTCAGCCACCTTGCAGGGGTATCATGAGGGCTATGTGTAAAACAGCTAGAGGCCCTTGCAGGGGTGACAGGCTCCTGATGGACTCTGGGTAACTTAAAAACCAAATCCAAGAAAGGTGATGTTCTGGTTGTGGTGTTTGCATCCTTCCCTGCTTGCGTTCCCAGCACCCTCAGAGTTTTTTTTTGGGTGCCGTCCTGTCTATGTCTTTTGGGGAGAAAGGGAGGCCCTCGCCTGGTGGTGCAGGCCAGGGGTGATGGGCTTTGTCGCATGTCCAGGCCTCTTCCCTGCTCCCGCTGTATGTTGTCTGTGTCTGGCCAATTAAACACGCTTCCTGGACCTCCCTGCCTCCCTGTGTGGGCCTGGTGCTTTGTCTGTTTCCGTGTTTCCGTCTGCTTTAGATCTCTGCCTCCCAGGATAGCCTGGCTCTTGCTTTGGTGTAGTCTGCCCAGGGTCCCCAAGGGAAAACCCATGCAAGGCAAGAGTCCAATGAATTGGTGGTACTGTGGTGACCAGGGAGCAGCAGGTGAGCTGCCCACAGCAGTTCACCCTGCACCATCCCCTCCTGTGTGTCCCATTTGCTGGGGCTGCCTAGGGGCCACCAGTGTGTGTAAACATCCAGCTAAGGCCTGTGGGTCTCGAGGTCACATGTCAGAACCTCTGTGGGCTAAGTAGGGTATCTCCTCCCCAACAGGGCTACTATTCTCCACCCGCCTTCCTCTACATGCAACCTGTGCTCAAAGTCCACAATCAGCTGGGCCCTCAGCAGCTGGCATCCCATGGTGCAAGGTGAATGCTTTCTGGGCCAGAGGAACCTTCCCTATGGCCCAACATGACACTCTGTAGGGTATCACCTGGCCAGAGCTTTCTCAAAGTGTGGTCCCCTGCCATGTCAGCATAACCCGGCAACTTACTAGGAGTGTGGTGTTCTTGGGACTTGGCCCACACCTGCTTTTCCCAGAGCCCCTTGGCAGCTGTGGTGGGGGTTATGGTAGGGTGTTTATAGTCATTCCACCCCTTTCTTGTGCTAATGGGCAAAGTCTGTGGGGTAGGGTTTAATAGTAGCATGTAGGAGACTGATGGTCTGTACTCTAGAAAGCTGGTTACCAAGGTCCTCAGGAACTGTCCCTAGGGGGAGGCTAGAGGCCATTTACATATCCACACAGTATTACTTCCATGAAAGCGTCAAAAATAAATGGGTCTGGGGAGATGCCTCAGTTGGCGAGCACGAGGACCTGAGTTAGATTATCCAGTACTGGGTAATAAGCTGGGCAGGCCTGTAACCCTGGTGTTGGGGGACAGAGACAGATGAATTCTGGGAACTTGCAAGCCAGTTAGATTAGCTAAAACAGCCAGCCTCTGGGTCAGCAAAAGATCTTGCCCTACAGCATAAAGCAGAGTGACAACAACATCCGATGTCTTCCTCTGGCCTCTGCATGTGTGGTCATGGGTGTGAACACCTGGCATTCATATGTACTCACCATACACCACACACACATACACAGAATAATTATGCATGACAGTTTCTCTGCAAATATGAGGGTCTGTCTCAAAGGGCTACTGCAAGGGAAGCCGGGCACTGTGTCTGGCATGGGTATGTTTGCTGTGGGGGCTGCTGGCTGGCAGCATAAGCTTGAATCTTGTCCAGGAAGCCTTGGAAGGGACACCACAGCTCAGGTTCCCTGGGCTGAGGGCACTGGATGGGTCACTCTTCTCTGGGCAGGCCTTGACATTAGTGGACACACTCTGGCTCAGCCTGTCCTGGGTGACAGTCACCTAAGATTTCTCCCTCTTCCCAGGGGAGTGAGCGCTCCATGGTAGCCCAGCTGGAGTCTTCCACATTGCCCTCTGTGTGCTGTGACCACATACCTTGACAGAAACGGCATAGTAGAAAAAGGTTTATTTACATGTGTGATTTCAGAGAGATTTTAGACGGCCATGTCAGGGGGAGCATGGTGGTGGAATCGTGAGGCAGGGTCTCCTCACACTTCCACAAACCAGGCAGTGGAGAACTCAGGCCAAACCACAGGTGGATATAATCCTCAAGGCCCAGCCTTAGGGGCCCACACCTGCCAGCTAAGCCACCCATGGCTCAAAAGTTCCACAAAATACCAAACCACCACCACCAGGCAGGGACCAATACCGATGTTTAATGTACCAGCCTGCAGGGACTCTCACACTCAATCATAACAGAAGTCGTCCCCTGGGGGGCTGGCTGCTCTTCTAAGGGACCCAGGTTCAGTTCCCAGCACCCACATGACAGCTCACAACTGTTTG